AAAAAAAAAAAAAAAAAAAAAGAAAGAAAAGAAAAAAAAAATAATCAGCCTACCAACGACAGCATTGCGCGAACAATCGTGCACACAGCTGAAGGCGGCTATGACACAATGGTATGCAATAGTTATTTTACAAATATACATATACACGTCTATTTTGATTAATCGCAATTATCGATTATTGAAATCATTTAAAAAGTAAAAAAAAAAAAAAAAAAAAAAAAAAAAAAAAAAAAAAAAAAAAAAAAAAAAAAAAAAAAAAAAAAAAAAAAGAAAAAGAAAAAAAATACACGTATATACGTATATTCAATTTCAATAATAATTATCGCACGCGTGTACGTTACACGTATATATGTATATACATACATAGTATATCGAAACAGTTATGTGAGATGCAACACCGAATGCTAACACACATATGTATAATAACAATTCTCATAATGGGCTAACATAGAATATTCTTGCTTTCTCGGTTCCTCGTGACGCAGCGGTTTACCGTATCGCAATCAGACGTCAGCCGGATTTCTCGAGGATCTTCCTGTGGTGGACAAACACGACCCTCGAATTAGTCCACTTTCCTCCTTTTTCCACGTCCTTCACACTCTCTACCGTCCCCCTCCAATCCCCACCGCTCTGCGCTAGAGCAGAGGATTGGAAAGGGATCGCTTCGATTCTTTGTCGATGAAAAAAATAAATTTTTTTCTGCAAATTTTCTTTTTCTTTTTTTTTTTTTTTTTTAGTTCCAAAAAATATCATCGATGAAAAAACGTTTCCCAAATTTTTTTTTTTTTTTTTTTTTTTTTTTTTAAGTTCCAAAGAATATCATCGATGAAAGATCGTTTCCCAAATTGTTGTTTTTTTTTTTTATTAATTATTCCTAATTCGAGTTTGTGAGAATATTTTTTTTTACACCGATTTTTATCGCATTCTCACGAAAATAAATATCGCGCCACTCCACGATGGAAATAAAATGGAGGAGAAAAGAATTCGCGAGAAGAGAATCCGTTGAAAACCGAATAATGAAAATGCGCGATAATAAATCCCGCAGGATTCCCCCCTTTATGTGTGTAGGGATGGAGGAACAAAACCGGTGGACACTTGAGCGGTAAATCGATCGTTCGATTCGATTATACCGCGATGTTTCTATGTGGGGAATGCAACGGAGAGGAAAAAAAAAAAAAAAAAAAAAAAAAAAAAAAAGAAACGCGATGAACATCGGCAAGCATTTTCCATGTGGACACGTGGTAATTGTATCAATCAATAACCAATGATGGAGTTAACACGATGCAACAACTACCATAACAACAACGTCGGGATTAGAGAGCTCTTAATCATTTCGATTCGATGGCTGGCTTCGTTTCTCATTTCTTTTTCAAACGGTTTTAATTCTAATTGATTAAAGAAAAAAAGATTAGATTACTAATGCATTTTGAGAATAAAAATTTTGAAGGATGTTTTCGAGTGTATTTCTCGCAAATATTAATTTTTGATAATAAAAATAGTAACTTTATCATCGGTTGGTCACATTGAAAATAAAAAAAGTTACTATCGAGAATTATTTAATCGCGAAAAATATAAGTTTGAATTTACTTATGAATCATTTTCGAGATCCAGCCATCGTGGATCAGTTCGAAAGAGCATCTAGGAAGAAAGATAAAAATGAAAAATCAAAGAAAGAAGAGAGGAAAGAGACATAGTATTTCGTCGGTACATTGGATTCGATCGATAAAACAGCGAAATGCAGCGCTTAATTCCAATATTTTTCCATCTCTTCCAATCAAGGAAGAACGTTTTACTTGTAAACCGTACGGGAAAGATGATAAATCGTAAAAAAAAGTGGTTCGACAAAGAGAGAAAAGAAAGAAAAAGAAAGAGAGAGAGAGAGATTCTAGAAAATTAAGCACTGCACTTAGCGCGATTGGGAATAGATCTATTGAATTAAGGGGGGAACATAACGTATATAAGAGGGAGGGCAGTGGTCTGAGGAGAGAGAGAAGAACCGAACATCGCGAGGAGATCGATAGCGAAGGCATTCGAGAGGCTTGCACGAGACGACGCTGCATGCCGCGAGGAACGAATATCTCCTCCGTTTTTTCTCTCCGTTTCCCTTCACGAGGTCTTCTCCCTTTATCTTTCTATTTCCTCTTCCTTTCTTTCATTCCTCCTCGTTCTTCTTCCTCTCGTCGATATCTTCGATTCTGCAGGATAGCAAATTTCACGACTCCCTCTCTCCTCCACCGAAACTTTAACTTTTATTCCATGAATGTAATTCTTCTTCAAGTTTCGTATTTCCTCTGTAATAAACGCTGCGCTCTGTGAATCCGAGGATTTTGCATTTTTGTAATTTGATTTATTTTGAAATCAGGGATCAGTAATAATTATTTTTACAAATTTGTATTATGAATTAGAAAAATCAAAATCTGTATAATTGGAATATCCATGTCTGTGTTGTGATTTTTTAATCATAAATAATACATACGATTAATTTTACTCGATCGGTAAAAAAAGAATAAATAATCCGCAATCCAACTTATACGGCAAATTTTTCCAAATATTTTTCAAAGGAAACGGAAATTCCAGAGTTATAGAGGATTAAAATGGCCGACGGTCCTCGAAAAGAGGCTCGAGGCCGGTCTTCAATTTGCAATAACTCGCGGACGAGGGTTCGGAGGAAGTGTGTGCCGGGCAAATTTGTCTCCTGCCGCATCGAAGACACCCTCCAAATCGAGCCTGTGTACGTGTACGTGTTTGTGAGCAATGGATGGTCGACGACAAGGTGTACGTATGCATGTGTGAGTAACGCTTGCAGAGACACCAATATACACTTAAAGGTATATATGTGTGTATATATATATATATAGATATATATATATATATAAAGATATACGTGTATATAGTGGTACTATGGAAGATAGAGGTTGAGGAAGAGGGCGTGATTGTGCAATTTCGAGCTGCGTCGACGATTCGCGCCC